TCCACATCGCATTTTGCCGCAAAGAGCGTGTTACAGAAATGTTTACAAGATGGGCAAACAGTTTTAATCGCAGCGCAATGATTTTGTGACTCGCAACATCGGCGAGTGCAACTGGCATAAGTGTATATGCATTAAATGTGCAGTGCCATTTGCCAAATTGATTTGCAGTGTGGGTGGTATCCGTCAGATACGAGATGCGACAAAACATTTCGGTGTTGCATGAATGATTGAGTTTGCCTTCCTCCGCCCGCAGCTCGATGGATGCATCTGGTGGCACCGTTTTCGGTGGCACATTTACTAGGCCCTCCAAGGGCTCAATGGGTCACTGGCTGGCGTTAATCGAATCAAATGCACCGCACGTTGTGTCCACAGGCATTGGCCAAAGCCATTGTCAGGGACATGGCAAAGCATTAAATCACGGCCACAGTGGGGCGAAGTTAGGAAAAAGGTCCCTAAAAATGGCAGAGTATGTGAAAAGTAGAAAAGGCATTTCCGTGCCTATCAAGCATCAGTATGACTGCCGTATCTGCTTGTCCGTCCGCATAAACTTCATGATCTCAGGTGCTATTAAAGCTGGGTGGGCGCTGCTAAATTGCTTCGCACCACTGTGGTTTTCCGGTGGCTATAACGCGGTGTGGGGGCATCGATTGAGGCGTGGCATGGCCGTAACTGTTAGTCGGGACCTGACACGCTTGATTGAGTTCAAAATCAGATTTGTGGTACCCTCGCAGCTCGCAGCTCGCATTGCAAATTGAAATAAAAACGGAACGTGACATTTGGCTTGGTTGGCAACAGGCGGGGCGCGACTGAAAGCGGAAATGAAAGTGAAACCGAAACAAAGGGCCAAACAATCGAGCAGAGTTTCAGGTTCTTCACCCTTTTATAATGCCCTTTCAGTGGGAAGTTTGGCTTGCAGCAGAAGCTGGATGTGCCATTTCAATTGAAAGGGTATCATTTCTATTACTGCTGTGTGGATTTAAATGGGGAAAAAAGGGTGCCAATCTCGCCTTTGGAAACGCATATTTTATTGTCAAAATCAATAGATGTCAGCGTTTAACAGCTGCCAGCGGCAAAATACAACCCCGATTGCCTGTCAAAAGCTCTTTCGTTTTATTAGATTTTCCCTGCCGGTGACTTTTGACCCAGGTAAGTTATAGAAATTTCCCTTTGCTGTTTGTTGTTCTAGTGTATTTTCCGGACTGTGTCTGTCTTTTTCTAGCTTCCTGCATGCCCAATACACAGGCACACGCCCTAACACCATAACATAAATCCAGTCTCATGCTTCCCAAATTTTCAAGCCAAACAAAACTTAAAAATAAAGCTCATCATGTTAAATGTGCAAGCATTTGATAAACATTTATATTTATATATATATGAAAGAATTTATATATTTTTTTCTTTTTCTCTTCTACTCCCCTCCCGCCACCCCTCAAAAACACACGCACACGCCCACAACACTCACACGAATCCCCGAAATATATATATGTATGTATGTATATATGTATGTACTTATGTGTATATGTGTCACACCAAACCAAAATTTAAAACCCAACAATACTCACACGAAATGCCAAAAATAATGTCTAAAATATATGAATCGAGCAGCACTCGGTAAGTATGCCAAGTATTATTATTTACAAATAGTTTAAGCGTTAGGAAAACAAGAGAAATGTAAAATAAATGTCTAAGCCTTTTACAAGTGAACTTAGATGATAAGCTAATTGGTTTACTTTTAATTTCTCATATGCCATTATTGCTTGTTTGGATACGCGGTAAATTAATTAATGAATAATAATTAATTAAAGTGGAGGGAAGAAAAGCAGCTTATATCAAATTATCAAGTACATTGCCCCCAGTTTTTTCGCATTTGACTCATTATGAGGGCTATTCCTGCAACCTGTCATTATTGTTTACAATTATTAAGTAGGCGGCGCGGTGGTAATAAAATTATTTTGAGAACTCAGCGGAAATCTTTATAGTCCGGACGTGTCCTGGCGGCCCGATGAATTTATGAAGCACCCCCAAAACCATATAGACCGACTTGTGGTGGTCCCGCTGACTTGGCTAATGGACAGCCGTTGGCGCGATGTGGAAAAAAGAATGGGAAAGCGACTTCTGCGGTTGCCTAGGACTTCCAGGCGAGCGACTTTTCTTCTGTGCCTATCTAACGATGCCATTACATTGTCATGAATATGATTATGTCCGCCCATATATATAAATATCCCATTTTTCGAGGGGCGGGGGACAGAACATAAAGGTAAGGCGCGAAGGCTGGCATCATATTTCACTTGTTGTTCAAGATTGAGGGGGAAAAGTTTGGGCCTTAAATAAATAGCGGAAAATATGGCAGAATGGAGGGAGTTCCTGTCACCAACCCCTCTCTTTCTGTCTTCATCTTTCCATCTCTTTCTGCGACTCCTGTCTTTTTGCTTCCGTCTCCTTCGCTGCTTCTGTGTGCGTCCCTTTCTTGGTCACGCGAATTTATGTGCGGCGCGTGTGAAGAATTTGTAGCCTCGCCTCTAATTGCTCGGCGGTAACTGAAGACCTGTGTATTTTTTAGCCCACACCCTCTGTGCTTGCCCACCTCCTGGTATCCTAGCAAAAAATAACGTGCAAAGTGTTGTCTGCCATAATTAAAGCCGACTTAGCCGACAGCGAGCATCTGTTTTCGGTCTGACAAAGTTCAAGTTCAGAGCGGCAGCAAACGAGAACCACCGCACCACCGCACCACCGCACCACCACCCATGTACCACCAACCACCTCCTTTCGCTGACCTTGCGGAGACAAGTGCATAGTGCAAGGCAGGCAAGGATGCTGCACTGTTACAGGAAACATAACTTTGTTAACTAGCTTAAGCTGCTTAAACTCACATCTGCTGAAACCCTTAATAAATAAATATTACCCATTTAAGCAGTTCGAAGTTGATAATTGAGTAAGGAAAGGGTGGCCGAAATATGTTCAATTACAAAAAAAGGAAAGAAAACTTGAGGCTCAAGTAATTATCAATAATACATCATAAATTATTCTAGCCACGCTTTCTTATCGGCTATCGTTCTCTTGGTAATTAGCGAAAATATTGTATTATTTTCTCACAGTTTCCCAGCTGCAGCTGGCGCATTTTCCACCTTTCGTTCATTCATAATTCACTTTTGGGCCAACATATTCCGCACAGCGGCCATTCGTCCTGCGTGTCTCTCCTTCTCTCCTTAAACTGGCATTTAAGCTGCGGTTCCTCGCGCATTTCCCGCATTTCCCGCGTTTCCCGCCTTTTCCGCGTTTCCCACTCTGCCAGCGCTTGACACATCAAGTATACGCCATGTGGCGCTGTGCTATGCCAGCTATTTCTCGTTTATTAAACGTCGCGGGCGCAAAAATTTAATAAAAACCGACAGGAAAGTTGTAGACGCTTAGCCAGCCAAGCGTTGAGCCCTCGATAAGTTATTATACCCCTGCCAGTGAATGCGGCATAGCTGCCGAAAAAAGGGCGAACATAAAAATAAGCAGCGAATAAGGCGACAAAACAATTGACATGGCCATAAAAGCAATCAGTTGCTGGGCGGACAAAAGAGAGATTTGTTGTGCAAATCGCTTTTCAAATCGCACTTCATCGGCGGAAATAAATCGCCGGAAATCCGAGCAGCAAATCTTGCGTATCCTTGGCAAGGCCATAAACGCGTGGGCATTTTAACTACGAACCGGACATAATTGTACCTAGAAGAAGGACATCAAATGCAGGACATACCCCTACACATCCTGTGAGCACAAGTGGGCGTGGCACTTGTTGTAGCTTTTCCAAGAGGGCTGTGCGTTGTGCAAATTTGCAAATCGATTTCGTTGTGATTGTGAAAACAATTTGAAAATTGCTTTGAGCCATTTTGGGGCAAGTCGAGCGACAAGCGTTTGGCAAATAAGAAAACCCACAAGCTCACACACATGCCCGCCCACGCACACATTTGTAAGGCAAACAGACACACGCACACAGGGACAAGCGAAGAAAAGTGAAAGCTTAGAAAGTTCGCCAAAAATAACGGGTTACCAGCGACAGATGGGCGGTATTCACAAAATATAGAATATTTAAATGTTTTTTTTTTTAGTCCAGGAATCCAGCTTTACTTAATAAGCTTTCTGTATATAATTCTAGTATATTTAAGTCGTAAATAAATCATTTCTATATGACAATCCATTTGAAATCAAATTTAAGGATATTAAAAACACGGATTGAGTTTGTTTTGATTCCTCCTCCCAAAAATGCCACACAAGCTGAAACATTTTTCCCGCTCTGCCCACAGCCTCTGCTTTCGGAGGCGGGCAAAGGAAGGGGCGTGGCCGGCAGCTATGACAACTGAAATAGGCTGCACTAATTTGACAGAGCTCGGAATTCAGGAATCGGTGAACGGACTGCAGCCGGGTGCACTGAATGATTGACTGCTTCTGACACCTCCGCCAGAGTTTCGCCAGCAACGATTTGGTTTCATTCGACACATCCTGTCGACACAAAGGAACATGGTGGAAATTCGAGGAAAATCGGGGAGGGAGCCACGGCGTAGGGGGAAAACTTCCAGCTGACTCAACAGGAAAATCAGTCAAAGTTGATTCGAATCGATGATGTGGCAGAAAGTTGAGCAACAAATTTAATGCTGCCATATGCGTCTATGGACTCACATTTCGACTTATTTTAAGCGAATTTTCAAAGTGGAATTTGCAAATGCACTCAAAAACGTAAAAGCTGTTGCAATAAAAGCACTGAAATATGCGATTTTATGGGATTCTTAGGTGGGTTTTTAATTTGCCATTCGTTATATGTATGCCTTATGATTAAAAACGAGTTAGGCGGAGCACAATTGGGTTTTCCCAAAAATATGAAACCAAGAAGTGCGCTGTGTTGTGTATTTATGTGAACGACAATTGAAACATGAATAGCAAATAGAAGGAAATAGCTGAGAGGTGAAAACAGTTTCTTGGAATGAATACAAATGGAACTTTAGTGGGTATCTGTGGTGCTGCTGCTCGTCCTCCTCGTCGATCATCTGGCACGCTTTTATTTCTTCGGGTCCATTTGCGGCTCTGCCTCCTTGATCAACTTGGCCCAGGATTCGGGAAACTTGAGGTGCGACTTGCGCTGCGAACGAGCCTCGTTCCTGCCCATGCGGTAGTCCAGGTTCATATCCAAGTCACTGGTGTCCAGTGCCTCGCCCATGGGGTCCTCATTTTCGCTGCTATGTATGTTCGACTGGATTTGGTAATCCTGGTCCGCCATCTTCTCGAACATTTCCGACTCGTCATCGTAGTCGTAGACGGTGGGCCTTTTAGCTGGGCGTCCTCCTTCCACTTGCCAGTAGCCGAGAATCGCCATGAAAATGTAAATCATCGCCAGTAGAGCCATGGAAGTCATGTTCGATATGTTGTCGGAGTGCTGATTAGAGTCGGAATGAAAAATCGAATGAAACAGTTGGCAGTATAAGCGCTGGCATACTGGGATGAGCATTACTTCCCGAGAGATCCCCAGAAGTAACCAGCTTGATTTTCTGGAATAAATTCAAGCACTTCATATAAATGGAAAACCTTTATTGCAGGTGCTCCTTAAGTAGTAATAGTTATTTGCTCTATTTATTCTTCTCTGACTTCATCATCTTCATCACATTCCGCTCGATCTCAACCCGGTTGTCCATGAGGCGTCGCAATCTAGCCTCGTATTCCTGGATTCGCTTCTGAGCTTTTTCCTCTGGTTGCACTTGCGATGAAGCCTGAAATTCCTCAGAAGATTCCGGTGAGTGCACCCAATACCTGGACTTCGATCCCGTGATATCCTGCCCGCTGTTCAGTGTGGTTTGCAGCTGGACAGGACCATGGAAGAGTTGCAAGAGAGGTGGAACCAGCACTCGATGATCCTCAGTTAGAGCTTGTGGCGGAACATCCTTGTTTTCCGCGCTCTCCTCGGAGTAACAGCTCTCGTCACCACACGGCTCGTTTTGGCCATAGAAGTCCGGTTTCCTGGACCATTTCGCACTTGGATGTTCCTTGGGCGTGATTCCCTGGTTGTTGTTTCTGCACGAGCTGTCCTTTTTTTTGGTCAAACGGGATTGAAGCAGCTTGAGATTATCGGTCATGGCTTTGGTGTGCTTGTGCAGAGATCCCAGTAAGCAGTTGATCCTGGCCACAAAAGCTTCGTCGTCTAGACTGATTTCCTTGCCGTCCTCTTGAGTGGGCTCATCATCACCGTTGTCTTCATAGCCATCGCTGCAGTCATCGTCATCGCTGTTGGCTGCGGGATCGGCGTCGTCGTCATCGTCCTCATCCTTGACGATTTTCTTGGCCGCCTTGCAGCGATTCTTCTTTTCATATCTCACATCGTGTGGACTCTCGGCGGGACAGATGCCCGATTGTGGGTTCATGTAGGTGTGGCTTTTCCACTGATCCCGACCTGGATCGTGATCCTCCTCCGTGTCCCAGCTTCGCTGCTTCTTCGGCTTTTGAAATATGGAGCTGAAGCCATCAAATGTGTCACCTTCATCAATATACCTTATCGGTTGAGCCAATTCAATGTGTAGCACAAGGTTAAATATAATAATTATTTTAGTTAACCAGGCCATCTTATTTTATCCTGAGCTCTGAGACTTTTAAGGCGTGGCAATTGACTTTTAATGCTTTTTGTAGCATTTACAACTCAAACGATGTTTGCTTTTGAATTCCATAACCATTTTCCCCCAACCTCCGGAATGGAAATCTTACAAAACCAATGGATTCCTGTGGCCTTCCTTCCGGTATGTCATCAGCTTGCATTCCTGCGGCTTCTGGCGGCTTCATCTCCAGATGCCTTTCTCCAGCTTTTCCCTGATTTTCCCGCAATTTCCAGCTGCCACTGACGTCAAGGATGCGGCAGTGAAATGTTCACTTACTGCGGTTTTTGTTTCCTTTCTTTTGCCACGCCTGTTGTTTACAACCTGCGCACGATTGCTCCAAAGGTGCTGGGATTGGGGGCGGGGAAATGTGGGTGGTGGTGGGTGGTGGTGGGTTGTGCATGGGGGGTTGCGTCTAACGAATTCATCAGCGCTCACAAAAGATGAAGAAAAATGGTATATTGAGGCCAAAAGATGGCCACGAGCGAAACACCTACGCAAGCGGAAGGGAAGTCACTAAGCATCCCCCAGAAAACCCCCAACACCCGGCCATGCACTGGGAAAAATGAGAGGATACTACAAGAATTACATTCTAACAAAACAAGGTTTTTGCCTGGCTTAATTGAGGGATACTATACGTACACGTAGTATTCTTTAAATATGTTTATTATCTCAGATCTATAAATGTTCTATGAAATATTCTGCTGGAAAATTATTCCTAGTGCATAATCACACCCCTGCTGAGCGCCACCCTTGCGGAAGTCGCCAAAGGATGGAAAGGACGCCGGATGAGGATGGAAATAGAAATAGAAACGCAGCACAAGTGCTACAGACAAGTCCGATGATGAAGACGATGATGGTGCAGGTGATGCAGGTGGGAGTGGGGATAGTTAGGGCTTGTATGCATCACCGGAGAACGATGGGCGGAGCAAGATGAGTCCCGCTCATGGAAAATGCATTTTCAGTCTCACTTACCCGCCGTGGGTGCAACAAGCTGTCCCCTGAAAATGTCTTTATGCCCGAGCTAAATGGGAAAGCGTGCATGCACTGAGGGAAAACGCGGATCGAACTTTGGAGAAACCCAACCAAAACCCAACCCAAACCCGAACACTTCCTCATTTGTGTTTGATTTCTTAGACTTTGGTATTTGTTCTTTGCGACCTAATATATTTTCTGAGCTTACCTTATATATTTCTCATTTTACAAACACTGCCCGTAATATTCCTCAGGTAGACTTAATCAGGTTTGCCCCACAGTTGGCAGCCCTGTGTCCTCTTTGAGATTTGATTTAATTCCGCCGGCCCACTCCAGCGTTTTGTAATTGCCCGACCAGTCGACTTCCCTGTAGTTTGCAATTAAACTGCTGCAGTTGATGGCAGTCGTCATTTGGGAGTTGACTCCTTTTCCACAGGATGTGCAGCTAGCGAGAAAACGCACATCTGTGGGGAAAAGTTGGCCAGAGGGAGCTTTTTAGTTCAGTGACATTTAAACTTTAATTTAAAGTGGCAAGCCCTTTTATTCGCAGTGGCAATTAGCAGTGAAAGGAGGGGCGAGCGAAATGAGCTATTTCTAATTATGTGTTTCAGGGTTTGCCCCTTTTTAAAGGAACATAATCACTGTTACTGTTTGCTGCGGGCCAAGTTAGTAACTAATAATTAACAATTACTATTCTGAGTTAGAAGGCTTCAGTTGAACGCTTTTTTGGCGTTAGCAAATGGCGCCTTACAATTACAAAATATTAATAAAAATGCTTGATTCATATTTACCGGAATATAGGGTTTGCTATGAACAAATATGGTATTTACAGTAATTCTGAGCCCAGCTTTTGATATTAATCAATATAACGGAACAACAATTTTTCTTTCAAGCTGACTCAATGAATAACATTTTGAATGTATATTTCAAATATAGTAGAAAACATAACTGACATCTCATTCACGAAAGCTGCATTCAAAACTTTAAAGCTGTTATCCCTAAGCTTCAACTTTAAGCTCACAAAACTGACCAACTTACAAGTCTAAAAGCAATTCAGAAGTCCTGACCAAAAAGCGTACAGTAACATCCATAGCTTTTAAGAGCTTGAGTTCCTCGGGAAAAGCTAAAATTATTCAAAACACAAAGTTTCCCGCTCCTGCAATTTGTCACTTTCCACTTCCTCTTTTAGCTTTTTTCACTTTCTACCGTTTCCCGTTTTTCCGCGCTTTCTTCTTGCACCGCATAAATCATTTCTCCTTGGAGGGTTAAGCATACGCAGCGTTGCACAGTGCTGTGTGTGGTTTTTCCACTGCATTTGGAAAATGGCATTGAAAAGCTGTTGGCGAAACGAAATTGATGACCCCCTAGACTTTATATTCTTACTTTTGGCCGCCGGCCTGTTGCTGAGTTTTCACTTTTCATGCTGCTGCTTTTTTCCGACTAACTTGGCCAAAAATGTGCGCCAGCATCATTTGTAAAAATCCTTCAATTGACGGGAAAAACAAAAGGGAAAATTGCTTATGCCGTGCTTGGTTTAGGCAATGACTTTCATTCAGCCGCTTGCTCATTCCACTCACTTGCCATTAAGGACTTTTGGTGGCACGCTACGCAGGACGAAGGCACATGAAATATGCTAAATGGACGCCAACTCAAGACAAACAACTAAACGACGACGGTTGATCAACTGCTTTGGTTAACCCTTGCTGCTCCATGGGGCTTCTTGCACATCCCATCTTCCAGCCAACCCCCCTTTTTCAGGACCAGGTGCACATTATTCATTCCTTTGACACGGCCCCCAAAAAAGAAAATACTGAAATAGGGACACGTATGCAGTGGGGAAATGGGCGGTAATCGACTTGATAATACCCCGGGGATAAACGAAAGCTAAGTCTTGTAATTAATTGCATTTGCTCTCAATGAATGTTTCAAACTCAAATTGCATTGGCTGCTTAAAAAAGTACACCTCAATTACTTGAAAGCATGTTTAGATAACAAACAGTATAATATATTTTGTAATATTTTTAATTGCCGTACAAAAACCCATAATTATGACTTTCTACATATAATCCTAGTGGACCAGAGGGCGGATGCGAATAAGAAGTCATGTTCGCAACTTTTTAAACTTTGCGAAGTTTGCAGAACGCCGTTTTCCGTCGTCTGCTTTATTTTTTGACCTTTGCTGACTAGGTTGCAACTTTAAAAAGAAATGCAGGATGGCAAAAACTTGAAAAAACAACGGCACGAAAAAGCAACCTCATTAGGCACGTACTGTCATTAAACTCTGAAAAGAAAGTTTTTGGTTTGTTTAGCGCTTGGAAAAGTGCAGGCTAAAAAAGGAGTATATATATTATATATATGAAGTAAATGAAAGACAAGCTGAAGCTACTAAGATCACTTCTAAGATTTTAGTTGAATACGGAGAAAATAATTATGCATATTAGAGTTAGAATAAGCTAAGATATAGGCGGTTTTCCTAATATGTTTTTAATGACCCAGTCGCTTGGCTTGAATTGCGGTTTTATTTTGCTTTTGGCCATTTTGTTTTGCTCGCCGCCTTCCGCGTTTTTCCTGGCACTGCCCTCAAAACAATTTTCCACGTGATTGTGGAAGAGCTTGGGTGCCACAAACAGGCGGCAGCTTTCATGCGGATGTTTTGAAAGCTCGCTGGCGCGCGGCTGCTGCGATAATACGGAAAATGTCGAATGGAAACTGGCGACAACTGTGCGTGTGCGATTTTCCGATTTTCCGATTTTCCGCAGCGTCTTCGCTCAGTTCAGCCCAAAACGCCAGCTGCTGAAGTCGCACCGCTGAAGTCGCACGGAAAACGCGCGAGCGGAAATCGCGTTGCGTCGCTCGTCCTCGTTGCTCCTTTTTGAATCCTGGCGCATCTCGTCGGCGATCGTAGTTAACCCGTTTGAAATCCGCCTCTCTGCGCGCCTATTTACCAAAAAAAATATCCATAAAAAGCAAACCAAAAAACAAGACAACTAAAACGGGGATTAATCAGCCAGCCACACCCCCACAAATAATTTCATTTTTTTTCGGTGCTATTAGCCAGTAAAAACGGAATTTCTGTGAGTGTGAAATAAAAATGCGCAAATTGCTTAATTGACAATTGGCCAACCAAAGCCGTAAAGTAATCCCATAAAGAGCGTATAAAAAAAGCCATAAAACGAATTAAGGGGAGGAAATCGGGGGAATCGGATTCGAGGGGAAATTAGGGAATTAAAATGCTAAACCATTAGTACAATGAACTTAACAATTGGACTTTGTACACAATCTCAAACTTTAATTACCAATCAGATAAATAGTAATTCAATAATTAATTTAAAAATGACTTTATTTTATTGGTGCATTTTTGATGAATTATGTAGTTGAGCAAAATGTATTTGTTACAAGGAATACTTACATTTGAGATTCAAAATACTGTAAAATACTTAATATAATGTTTGATCTTTGTAAGTTTGTGGGATTCAATTTTATTTTACTTTTGTAAGACAAACGTACAACTTTACTTGGGCTTGAATAGATAAAAGAAATCGCCTGTAATTACAAAAAAATCGCATAAGCACTAGGAGCGCTGCAAATGGGATTGCAGGCCTGTAAATCAAGTATACGCCGCGTGGTTGCTTTTGCCGCTTGTTTGTGGGACTTAGCCTGTTGCCATCCCTGCAGAGATTGCTGAAATAAAAAGAGTCCACACAAATTGCTGCGGAATTCCGATTGGCAAATCTTTGATTTCTCTCTCGTTTGGCTGCGTGCTGATTGCCCCAAGAGCCCGTAAAATGCCGTCCTCCCTGGTCCTTTTGTGTGCTTCCCTTGGTCCTAAGACCTAAGTCCTTTGTCCTTTTTACTTTGTACCTTGTACCTTGCCCTGCCGAACGCCGAAATGTGAGTGCTGACTCCTGATGCCCGGGCCTTACCTTATTTATTTGGGAATTGGCACTGTCTGGCTTTGGAATCGGTTGCTTTGTCTTTGGCCAATATTTGCATGGCAA